TCAGATGGTCACCAGTGTGCCAAAATGTGCCAAAGTCTGCAAAAATGTCATCTTGCCTGAACTGTCTGTACTTTGTAATTTTGTTCTACTTCACTTTTTCAGAGTCAGCCTTTGCAGAGAGAATGTTCACATATTGTGCTGTGATTTTGGAGAGGTTTAGAATTGCAGCTGGATCATTCCAAAGAGATAATTATCCTGAAACGGCTTTTTTTTTTATGCGAACCTGAAATTTTTTAAATTTGTGTGTGTGCCATGTACATTTACTTTTAACCAGTAACATATATACTGAAATTTACACATCTGAACAAATCTTACAAGTGTTCCTTTTATTATTACACAAAAATTATTCAAATAGATCTTGTGGTTGCAGAGATACACTGTTTTTATTATGGGTATGTAATTTTCGAGCAAAGGCCTGAAAAATAGCTCAGGGCTTAAAGGGTTAAAGCATTATTCTGCCAAAAGTTTCCCTCTAGTGAAACATCCAGTGTATTTATCTCCCTTCATGCTGTCTGAGTCGACATATTCCACAGCTGTTATCAGTCACAGAACAACCACAGACCTGATTCTGTGTTTCTGATGTGTTCATGAGTGTGAAGTGTGTGTATGAGGCTTGTTTAGAGTTCACTGTGTGTAAAGGTTATTACAGGTCAATGCAATGAACCCAAAGAAGTTTCACTGCAATTAAATGTACAATTCATACCAGTGTAGATATTGTAGTGAGTCACATTAACTCATCCCAACATTTCCATTGATGTGTGTTCAACAACGTCAATAAACTGATGTCTGATGATTCCCAGTATTTCAGTGTCAACAAGAACTTTTTTCAGTTTTATTGTGTCTGTGCATATCATATGTTTGATCATGTGAGATCATTAATTTTATTTGCAAAGGTTTTTATATCAGTAAATCACTCCAACAACCAAACAAGAGTTTCCTGTGAAAGTCTACGATTTCACCACTTAGCAATGATTTGCATGAATGGAAAACTTCATTTGAGTTGCAAATGTTTCCATAAAAGCTTAATTTCTTTTACAGTGTCATTATATAGAAACATGAGTTCTAGGAGAGCTGTGTTCAGTTGATCAGTTGAGGAATTATCTGATTGTTGTGTTACTTTTCTCTCAGAGTTCATGACAAAATCTCCAGAATAAACAGCAGCTCCTTCAGTCTTCTGGCTTTCTGATCCTCAAACTTATTTCACATCCACTCAAATCTATTAATTAACCAGAGACCAAAACTTAGTTATAAATCATTTGAAAGCCTTAGTCTTAGCCTGAACCAGAAAGCGCAGAAATCAGTTCTGTTAGTTGTCGTATATCGACCACCCGCTCCTTACTCTGAGTTTCTAACTGAATTCTCAGAGTTCTTAACTGACTTAGTGCTCAGT